CGATGACAGAGCTTTTCACTCTCTCTCAAGGTTCGCCCAGATGCCCTGCGGAGAAAACTAATTTCAGTCGCTTATACACAAGTCTTGTTCTATAGGTCATTATAGTGAGGGTCGGAACATAAATAACCTGGTAAATTGAGAGTTTTTCATTTGGGCTCAGCTCCTGTTTCCCCTTGGTGGTTCGGTCCTCAGATTTGGAGGTCCTGAGCCTCGTCCCCACTGCTTCACACTAGTTTTCAAACCATTTCAGTAAGTCTTGATTGTCCACATCGTTCCAACTGGATGGATTCTCCTTTCCAGAACTCTGGCATAGGCTTTTGCAGGTAGGGTAGGCTGAGAAGTGTGATCCCTTGATAATTAGAACACACCCTTCAGTCCCATTTTTTTTATATTTTGGACAGGTCCCACTCTAATTATATGTCTCCAGCCTCCCTCAGGATGAAGGAATAGCTCCTCCAGAGGTGGGAGTTAACTATTTACCGGACAGGGTCCTCTGCCAAATGTTCCCTGTTCACTCGAAAAAGGTGTTTCCCAGGTCAGTCAGTCATCTTATCTAACTCACCACCAGGTGGTGATCAGTTGACAACACTTTCCAGAGAGCCATCCAGGGTCTCTAAGAAGGCCAGATACTCTGAAATGTGCATAAGCACAGAACACATTGAGAGTCAGAGTCTTGTCTCTGTGACACAAAGTCACACTGAGCCGACCCTCTCGGGCTAAACTAGGCTAAACTCCAAAAATGTTGCACCAAGTCGGGACTTGTTTCTAAACCTGGATGACTCCAGAGAAGGACAGAGTCCAATCACAGTACCAAAAGGTATCGCAGTATCCTGTGTGTGTGGGATTCCCCTTGAAGATGGCCCTACAAGGTCCCACACTATTCTTTCGAGCCCAACTGGGCCCCATTCACATAGGGCCCCCTTATCCCTCTCTCTTCCTTTGTCTGGCCTTTTACCTGGGACCAATTTTGGTCAATTGCAGAGGGAGACTCTACCAGGAGCTGGTAGCTATGGACAACACAACTCCCAGGGAGTTCTTGTTTGTACAAATGACAAACATGAACTTTCTTGTGAGTGTGTGTTTCTTTGGTTGATATTTAATACTTTGATTTTTGATTATAATGAAAGGTGATGTAAGCGGTTACTATGTCATTGCTACAAAAGCTATGATAAATATCAATGAAATATGTGTCATGAGAAATCACATTGGTTTCTGACAGTTCAAGACTCAAAACTGCAAAGAGCAGCTTGTATGATTGTTTCTGACATTTTGCACGTCTGGATTTACTGACATTGAGTTGACTGACATATCTTTGGGGTTTCTTTAGAGAAGGCATGTGATTGAATATAGCAGATGGAAACTTAAAATTAAATAAATACATTTAATCAATAAAGAATGGTGCTCGACAGTAACCAAGTGTATAAAAGCATTCATTTTGACAGTCATTATGTTTAATTGTTGGTAACGTGTTCTAATGTTTTGTGATTTCAGATGGCTGAATAAACTTGGTCTGGCATCTATTCAGTATGAACCCACAGAGGCTCATACAGCTGGTAAGTTGTGTGAGTTAGTGTACTAGTGTTACAAGTATTCTTTACGATATTCATCTATTTACATTTATTTATTGCATCTTTGTTTTTCTAATGCACAGAATGCTACAGTGAGGCCAGTGATCACGAGGAGTCCACTGACACGCCTCCACCGCCATACTCTGAGCACCACACCCAAGCTGTAGCAAATGCCAGTGGTCCATCGGCCACTGTGCACCAGGCAAGTTCACAGATGCATAGTGTATGTGGCCTTGTCCTCATGCCAAAGGCCTGTCCATATATTATTTGGAAACCTCAAGTTTCGGACTGTTTTTACATTGGTTGCATTCACACAGCAGCAGAATATGATTGTCAGTTGTGTTTAAAGTGGTAAATATGACTGTTTACACACAGCTTGGTTGTAAAAGAGAGTGACAACTGTGTTCTATCACTAAACTGACTCCTTTAAATTTTCAGGACGCACAACATGATTTTGAGAACATGTTTAGTAAACTGTAATCTGTTTTTTTGTACTAGTGGTCTGTCATTTCATAGAGCATGGCAGCTGTCAATGAGGTTAATGGTGTAATTTATACCAATTTTGAGAATAAAAAGGGGGCTTTATAAAACAAAGCCATGATCTAGAACAGGGGTTCTCAACTCTGGCCCTCAAGATCCGCTTTCCTACAGAGTCTAGCTCCAACCTTGATCAAACTCACCTGCCTGTAAATTTCTAGTTATCTTAAATACCTTGGTTAACTTGTTCAGGTGTTTTTGATTAGGGAACTATGTTGGAAATTTTGTAGACATTTGCCACCAGACATATTATAACAGAGTATGCCATTATCCCTCCCTCACTCTGTGGTATCTTCTCCATTTAGGGAAGCCTTCCTTCTCCATATTCCTCCCCTGTTCCTAGTGAAGCCACTGGAACCCTCTCCTCCCCCGTCAGTACAATGACCTCCCACAGCTCTGTCTCATCTCTGGCCAAGCATAGACGGTCTTGGCTAGACCTTGTCTCCCAGGCAACCCCTACTGCTGGTGAAACTGTGGTCTGCTCTGCTGTGGTCCATACAATGAGCACCTCAATAAAGGAAACCTCACAACATCGTGAAGCCACAGCTCCATCTCAAGACCCCCTTGGATGCTCATCTAGCACATCACCTATGGCAATATCCACAGAGCCAGAGGAACCAGAAACACAGCTGATCTCAACTGACACCAGACAAGAAAGTAAGCAAGTTGGGGGGCCATTTTAACATCAGATTTATGCTAGGGAATTACATTGTTCAGCCAGTGACATGACTGCTGATCAATTTGGAGCATATTAGAAGTGTATGTTATAGGTCTATCAATCTATCAAAACTTTTGTAAAAGGTTTGATTGCTTAGGTTAAACATCAGTCTTGCTATAAAATTTATAATTTTCTAATAGTTCTAGATGGACAGGAAGGAACTGATGATGAGATGGAAAGATTGTACTTACATTTGAAAAGAGCGAGTTTGTCTCCAACGGGTGAGCGGAAGCCATCATCAAAATGGGAATTACGAGCCTCATTTATAAAGCGTTCCAAAAACCAGACACTCAATGAGAAGATACATCTCATCAGAACCCTCAACAGCACTCTAAAGGTTAGACGTTCAGATTAACCTTTTCTAACATATGAAAAAAATAATTGTCTTACAATTTTTTCTCAGTATTTATTTATCATATCATGAAAACCAAATGCACTCACAAATACTGCTGATTAAAAATATACCCACTAGTGTTGTCACAAATTTGTAGCCAATATCTACCAGCTAAATTATGACAATACCACTCAAGTTATTTGGATGTCTTGTTTCTTACACAAGAGGCTGAATGTCATGACTATTCTGTTGTCTATTCTGTTGACTATTCTGTTGACTATTCTGGGGAAGTCGTGGCCTAATGGTTAGAGAGTCGGACTCGT